CATTTAGGCAATAAAATATTTAGTCTCGACTGCTTAGTTACAAACAAATATGACAGTAATAATGAAGGCTAAAATCATAAAAAGCAGCAGCAAATAATTAAAGAAATCCAAAAAATCTTCTATAAATATTTTTAAACTTGAAATATTTAGTCCAGGTATCTAATTTTAATTAGGATAAAAACATATCAACAAATAAACATGTTTCAACTCAAGCTGACGATCTGTTGCTGTGCTTTTATTTTTATCTGACAAACTTACAGTAAGTATTGTTTTTAATCACACAACTTACACACTGTTTAATRAAACCCTGCTAGGTCACCATGATTATTCAGCACAAATAACGTTGGCCAAATTATACCTCCTCTTTGTACATCTGTAACATGACAGATTATCACAGATTTAGATAACCGTATTTTGCAAAGGGAACGTGAACGATACGTGTTGTTAACTCCGGACGTGTTTGATACATGCAGCCKCTGTTTTTGTTCCGGTGCAGAAACATTGAGGACATGCAGATCTTGGCGCGTTGTCGTCTTTTCTGTTTAGTTTTAAATGTTACCATGCTTTTTATAATTTGTCGTTTTCTGAGCGCTTCGTTTCGGTACTCTTCGCTTTCTTCTAAAGCTAAATATAGTGCTTAGAAAGCATACATGCGTGACGCGTCGACAGCGTGACTGTTAGCGGAAGCGCTAACATCGTATACATTGTGTATAACACAAATAACATTCCGGGCGGACGAAAGTGCGCTGATTATAACGTATGTATTTTTTACGAAGCAACGAGGTCGACAAATTTGCCTGGAGGATTTTTTGTAATCGAATTACTCTAATTATTCGAGGAATCGTTTCAGTCCTAGTATCGACCGAGTAACTTTAGGATCGATATGCTCCGCAACCAAGGCTAGACGTTACTATCTACATGAAAAATGAAAAGTAAAAAGACGAAGCAACTGGACTTCTGTTTTGGAGCTGTAAACACATGGAGCTACAGATTTAAACAGCGTGACTTGAGGTTAGTGTCTTATCGATCCTTCACCCCCACCTCACAGATGAAAAAGTCAGATGGAATGTGACTCGAGCTTCAGACCGCCACACTGCAGTCGTTTTGAAAACATCAGATATGTATCCGATTTAAAACCACATACTGAAATGGCCTGGGCCGGATTTGAAAAAAATTGGATTTGTCGCATTCAGACTGTCATTAAAAAAAATCAGATATGGGTCAGACGGGTCAAAAAATCAGATTTGGGTCGCATTTGCCTGCAGTGTGAACGTAGCCCTTGAGTGCTACTCACTGGGCCCGTTTTTTGCCTAAAACTCAGCAATAACTCTGAGTCAACTTTGTTTATCTGCCAGCAAAATATGAACAACAGGAGGAATTTTAATGGAACTTTCAGGAAAAAAGCAATACATGGAGTAGCTGTCAGCACCAATTCGATTCAGRATGGCTAGCGGAGCTTAATTAGCAAACACAAAAAAAGCCAGTCAGTTCAACATAAATTAGTTTAAAATTAGTTGTATTCATGAATCATACTCTGCATTTTCATTGGGTTACACAAGCTTTAAAATACGTTTTCCACCACACCTCATGTCTGACCCTTGTTCTGACTCTCTCTCTTGCCTCACGCAGTGCGCTACCTGGGCTCACTTGAGGCTGTGGTGTCTTGCAGCACCGCACCACGCTGCAGCATGGTGATTGGCTGGAAGGCAAAGGACAGCAGGAGTCTGCAAGTCTCCTTTCATGTCACAAAGAGGGGTGTGTGGGATGTGGATTACCACCACGGACTCAAACTGATAGGTAGGAGGCAGTTTACAGTATATACCCAGGCTGCCATTCACAGTATTTCATAATGCATATAAAACGAGGAGAACAAACACTGTCATTTTCCACCATTTACAACCCTAAACCACAGAGCTCCACTCAGAAGGTTGTGATTTCACAACTAAAATTGACAGAATKTATCCTCAGTTGAAATAAATGAAAATACTGGAATGATAAGATCTATTCAGAACACATATTTTTTACAATAAAATATGAGATGTAACAGTGCATAAGTATCACACACATTCAGGAAAAGTCTGTATTCTTTGTATACATGCATATACTAATTTATCTGTTAGCTCATGAACCACTGAACTGAATTTTATTTAACATTTGGAGGCAACTTAGCAAACACTAAAAATGTCATGAACCAGTCAATTGTACATATACTGAGCTAAGACCTGATGTGGTGGTAGCTGAGAGTTATCCCAGCACATACTCCAAGGTGCAACTCATTGTACAAGGTCTTTTTTAAAGCACAAGTTGGAGTCAACTTTCACATTCGTTCTAAGATTGATACAGTAGGTTCCTAACTCCAAAAAGAATCACTAAGCGTTCATTCATCATGTTTTGAAAATGATATGAGGGAAAAATTTAGACTACGTTCAGTGCAAGTCTACAATTTATATGCAAAGCTTTCACTTACCGGTACATAATGYATAAATATGGGTGCTATACGTTAGTATGCCAATTCTGAAGTTGTTAGGATTAGAGTTGCTTGTTTGKTTTAGTGTTTATATTTGAACCTGCCAGCTGCTCTGGTGCATCATTTTATTTTTGGAAATTTATATAATGTGCAAAAAATAAAACTGATTAAAGTATTGATCCTGTAACTTTAGTATCAATGCAGACTGAGACCAATGTTACGATATATCATACATTTCACTGGAATTTCAGTTGTCCAGGACATGCAAAAAAAAGGACAAAGCAACTGGACTTTTGTTCTGTAGTTGAAGACATGCAGTGTTCCAAGCTTTAAACTGCATGATGTATGAATTTTCTAAATACTTGCCTTGATCCATAAACCCCCGCCTGATGCCACAAGAAATTTGACATCAGCGTTCAGACTGCAGTCACTTTGAAAGGCATCAGATGGGTATTCGATTTAGTACCACATCTTAAAGGCCACATTGGGTTACATAGGGACAACAACAACAACAAAAAAATCACAACTTTGTCTGCAGTGGGAACGTAGCCTTAATGTGACTTCAACACAGCTGAGGTCTGCTCCACTCCTCTTTTGGTTCTGCTTCATATCTGAAAGCTCCCGTCAGTGCGGGACACGGTTGACTCCATCCGGGATTTATGAATGACCGGAGGAAGCACGGAGGTGGACTTGTGTGTAAGGCCAGTTTGCAGAACTGTTTTATGAAAGTGTTAAATGAGTAAAACCTGTTAGTACACTCACATTGTCTCCATTACTTATTGATAACATAAACATCAYACTACACTGCAGGTTCATTCATTTGTACTGTATTTCTTTTAAAGGATAACAATAAAGGCTGTGACTTTTAGTTTCTGTTTTATAGTCTGTGTTTGGCTTACCTGTAGGTGTTCTTTGCATCTCTGTTTCTCCCCAGCCTGTTTCCTCCTTGTTCACCCTTCTGTTCCACCTGTGCCCTGTTTCCCTTTCCTCAGGTGTTCCTGGTCCCCTTATCAATAATATATTGCTGCATTCTATTTACATTGTAGTCCCTGAACTGGTAAATGGTAGTGATGCCATTTCCCAACAAACCATATGGAACTGCATTCCAGTTAGCCGACAGGTGATAGTATTGTTGCTGCTAACCTAGCTACAACACTGCTACAATATAAACAAAGACAAAAAGAGAGCTCTACTATGTACGTCATGCAAATAAACATTGTTTTGAATAAGTACAGTATTGCACAGAAAACACACTACTTGTGCGAGTGATTAAACATGCACAAAAATTTAAGAAACATTAACAGTAAGAGTTTCATTAAATTATCATTAAATCTGGATAAAACGAATTACATGATATTTAGTAATAAGAAGGAAAGTGTTGAAGTTCCATTTAGAGTCAACAATGTTCTGTAGAGTCAGTGAAGTGACGTTTTTGGGAGTCATCATTAATGAAAAGATGACATTGAGACCTCATGTGAATTATTTAAGAACAAAAGTAGCTAAATCTATTGCATTACTAAAAAAGTAAGGGAGTTGTTTAATGATAAAGCTTTGTATATGTTGTATAATGTAATAATTGTTCCACATTTAGTTTACTGTGTTGAAGTCTAGGGGAAAGTGTGTAAAACAATTGCAAATCCTGTTTTTATTTTGCAGAAAAGAGCAGTAAGAATTATCACCAGAAAACATTATGATTACCCATCAAATACATTATTTTGTCAGTTGAAATTATTTAAATTCTATGAGTTGGTTGATTACAACATTTTGCAGATTATGTATAAGGCTCATAAAATATATTACCTTTGAAAATCCAATCGAATTTTGTTAAGAGACAAAGTTACTACAATTTAAAAGGGACAGAGGTGTTTGTGAAACCTACAGTCTGAACTAGTTTAAAGGAATGATGTACTTCAGTGCAAGGAATAAAATTGTGGAATAATCTGGAGTATGAAATTAAAAGTGCAGGATCAATGTATAAGTTTAGGAGAATGGTAAAATCCAGTCCGTTGAAGAAATATGAAATGACATACTGTATGTATCCTTAAAAA